TACCAATTCCTTGATTATTGTACTGCTGCTGTTCGTTTTGTGTGTGTGTTTTTCGCGCGCTTTTTAACACGGGTTCCATGAAAAAATTAAAATTGTGACCTATGATATCACAGGTTACCGTGCGTAAATAAACGTTATTTTCATTATGTTTGGTCAAAAAGTAAGTATCATGTTTATACACTCTAGTTAATTAATCCTTAACTTTACTAAGTGACTTTGAAGCACATCTTTATGACAAATACTGGATTTTTGAGAGAATTTTATATTTGTTTACATTTTTATTTTTTCGTCTATAATGGCGATTCGATGAATGACAAGTGAAAGTGCCGATTTTTAATAATGCCTAAAAAGTTAAAAATAATATTTACATACGGAAATTTATTTATCTTTTAATAAAGCTTAAGCTCTTATCTTTCAAATAAAACCAAAATTTAACGCCAAATATTTAAAATGCATTTTTTTTTTTTTTGGAGGTGGGGTGGCGGTACCGAATTTATTCCAAGAGGCAAATGGACTATGCAAAACAGGGATGTTCAATTCCTTGAGGTACTTCTTACTTATTGTGATGTGAAAAGCATGCAGTTTCCCCCATATTTAAAAAAGTAGGTTAGATTCCTGTCGCGAGGCACATTTTCTTTCATAAGACTTTCTATCTCTAGGCCGGTAGGCATCGATTTCACTGTTTAACAGTTAAAAAATAAAAAAACAGGGACATCTATTAAAATACGTGTACCTACTAACAAATAAATAAAGTCTTATTAGGAATCCATTATTACTATTATTAATTAAAATATGTTAAAAAGAAATATCGTGTCGGTCGTTTTTTAATTAATAGTTAGACAAATTTATTCTGCTTTAGCTTTCCTTAAAAATAAAATATTATTCTGTATTGGTAGTTGTAATTATTTAAAACATTTTTAATATCATTCAAGAGAATGACTCGACTTTATTTGTTTCATGTATATTCCCAAATCTTAACCACTTGCTTTAAAAAAACCTAGTTAAAAAAAAAATTAACCAAATTATTCCAAATTCTTTATTGTTTTTGGTTTCATAACTAAACAAACTTAATAGAAAGAAATATCCCATAGCATTATTTTCAAATTTCAGTTTTAAATAGTATTTCAAGAGATTTAGACGATTTTCAATTCGTTTACTCACTGTGTTTATACTTGGAAGCTGGCAGAGGAAATTGTCTTTTGTTAAAAAAAAAAACTCTTAAAACAAAAATTTTACCTCTGTACTGTACACATATGCCAACTACCTGACCGTTTTGCATTTTTTATTTTATTTTTTTGTATGTCGTGTTGGAGTCAAATACAGAATAAATATGGATCGGAATCCAAAAGAATTATAAGAATTTAAAGAACAAATCGGAATTAGCAATGTTTGTTTTTAGTTTGTTTTTTTTTTTTTTTGTTTTGTTTTGGGATTTTTTTATTTATTTAAACTAAAGCTTCGTCAGAAAATGAGATATGGAGAAAAAGAAGAAATTCTGGTATTTTTAATTTTTTGTCTTGTTTGATTTTCATTGGTTAAAATTTTAAAATGTTTTTATTATCAAACTTGCTAAACAACTGAATATTTTCATAACCTAAAACTTGTTTTTAATTTTAAACGTCTTGTTCTTGCATACGATTGTTCCTAATTTCTAAAAAAAAAAAAAATATATTTTATTTACAAATTTTAAAGTAAATCTACCTTAATTAGTAAATACTTTTTTTATTTTTTTAGATTCTTTAACGAAAAATAAAATGTTTTTTTACTTTACTTTTTCTAATACTGAGCATGTATTTTTTATCCAAAAACTGTCTATTGATTCTAAAAATAAAGTCGTTTTCATCACTAGGCCAATGAATACTGATATGAAATACTTCGATGTGCTGTGTCCCTTCACGATGTGGACGATCATGGCTCTCCACATTTTCCTGCCCTTTGTAACTCAGTGATTTTTTTTTTTTTATCATTTGGCTAACTCTCCTTAATCTTGTTCTGACAGGATTTCAATAGGGTTTTTCAAAAAAAATAATTTAATTTTAAAACTAATCAAAAGTAAGATTCGATTAAAAAATAAATTAACTTACTGGATTAACTTTCTCTACGTCTTTTAAAAATCATTCATTACACTTCCAGCTTGTGGCGGGAAGGAGGGGGGAGGGGTCTTTCCGACCCAAAACGAAGAAGTTATCGAAAAAAGATAAAGAGGTTTTTTTTTTAGTCCAAATAATGACAACTTCACATACGACAATGCATTCATAACAACAGAATAGGTAGTTGATGATGATCATCATCATCAAATAATAATAATGTTTTTTTATTATTACATCATGTGATCAATGATCACATTGATAGATTTTAAATTCTGATCCATTTAGTTGTCTGCCCCTCTTAATAATTGGCTTTCTTATTCTTCTAGACAGCGGGATGATGATGATGAAGATTTTTGTACTGAAAGCTAACACCGAATCTGAATGATCAAGCGAATAATTATTTTTTTTAACTTCCTCCATATAACAAGCAATGGCAAACTATGCTTAATTAAATACTAACAGGCTATTAATTAATTAATTAACAAATTAAATAAAATAACAAAGGCAATAGGTATTTCTATTGGCATTTTTAAAACGACTTCTCCAAGAATGTAAGAAGAAATGTGAACAACGAAAATTAGGAGGGGGGTACTGATGAAATGTCGCAATATGTAAAAAAAGGTCATTGGCAACCTGCATCGCCATCGTTGGCAGCATCAGGTAACCACACAATTCTCTTGTGTTGTCTTTTGATTACAATTATTGATTATTACCTTTTCTTTTCTTCTTCTAACTAGACTTTGCTATTCTGTCTTTTTGGGGGTTAGTTAATTATTAATTTTTCGCAATGCTGTCGTAGTAAATTTCGATGCCCAGCCCCTTAGTTTTGTTTTGAATATATTCACAACGTTTCTCATTTAAATTTTATTAAAACTAAAAGTAAATAAATGTTGATTTCACAACAGAATAAGAATAATAAACAAATGTAAAAAAAAAAAAAAAAAAAAAAGGCTATTTTAACAAGAAAAAGAAATAAATTCAAATTTTCAATGTTATACGTTTTCTAATTTTGTTCGATTTCCTTATTTTTATATTTTCCATAAATGAATTGCCACAACCAGGACAGCTAATTAAACTTATTTCAATAAAAATTTACCTCGAAATAAAATTATAGCTATAGCAAATTAAGAAGATATATCAGTAGAAAAGATTTATGAAGATTTGTATGTCAGTTATTGAATTTTTTTTAAAAATAAAATGATTCGTTTAAATAACAACGAAATAAGTGAAAAAAAAAAACAAACTAGATTATTAGAATTATACAATTTAATTTCTAATTAAACGGAATATAAACTCAAAACTGTAAAGAAGAATAAATGATTGTCGATACAAAAGTACATTAATTTCAAATCGGGACAATTAAGAGTTCATACAATTAATTGATTTAGTATTAATATAATAATAAGTGTTACTGTTAAATCTCGACTTTACGATCAGTCTATTTAGTTAAATGTCAAGTCGAAAATAATACTAAGGGAAAATCCCACGGCTACCGGCTCTGAACAGCCATTTATGATTTTAATCAAAAATGTCTTTATTCAGCACCACGAAGGGGAAATGAGATCAAAGTCAAACTCTTGGAGATATTATCTTCAGCCTTAAAGTAATATTTAAACAATAAATACATAAAAATTAAAACTTTCCTGCTATTTAATCTGATATTTGAGTGATTTTTTTTTTAGATGTTTTTAATTCAAAAATGAGAAGGAAGCCAGCGAATTAGCACCTTATCAACTTATAAATTGAAACCAAACGGGACACCTGTTTTATTTTTAGAGTCAATCTACGAAAACAAAATAAAAAATAGAGAACTTGATATTGATAAACTAAAAAACATTTTTGACCTTGTAAAAATTTGTTTTAGTTTTTATAAGTGTTTTTAATTTAAATAGTGAATTAAAAGATTTTAATTTTCAACCCTTGAATTTCCATTTAATTTTTTTTTTTAAATTAAAATCAAAAATATTTACAAAGAGAACCTTAAAAAAAAAAAAAAAAAAAAAAAAAAAAGGTTTGGCTATAAAAAAAAAAACCCAATAAGCTTAAAGCGGTTTCGTTAGATTTTTGTTTTTTTGTGAATGAATGAACAACACAAAGTTAGTAACTTCAAGTAAATAAAAATTTACTCAAAAGTCAAATAATATTTGATACTTTTTGCTTCATTTTTCTTCATCTGACGTTTGGTAAGTCTCCAAAATAAGTTATAAAATAACTTATTTAAAAATTAGATTTTTTTAAGATATTTTTTTCACTAATTTCTTTTAAAAACTTTAAGTCAAACTTTTAGTTTTAATTTAAAGAAAGGTTAAAGACCTAGGCATCCTGAGGGTTGGCTAAAGGTCAGATTTGGGTTTAAAAAGGTTTTTGTGTTTTTGTTTTGCTGTTTTTTAGAGTAGTTCACTAAATTCCTAGAAAATTGCGGAATTTGATTATAATTCTTTTTTCCTTTGAAGATCAGGTCAGCTCAGTAAGTAAAACTAAAACATAAAGGTAATTATTTTGCAGCTTCTTTAGATTCCAAACTAATCTGCAAAAAAAAATTATCAACAAGTCAAAGAAAAGATGGAGTAAGAAAAACTCCTTAGATATTTATAAATTTAAACAGCATAGAAAAAAAGTCCTAAGTTTCTTTGCGAGAAAGTAAATAAAGCAACTAGGGAAAAAAGTAAAATCAGCCACTACTAAACCTTTCTAAACCAGTAAAGAAAAGTACCAATGGTTCTCTTTTTACTAAAACAATTATTTTTAAAATAAATCTATTAATTAAATTAAATATTTCATCTTTTAGTCTTGAAATGAATTAATTTCTTTTCCTAATGACACGATCTTACAACAAATTAAAAAAAAAAAAGAAACTAATAAAACGCTACAGGTAAATAAAAAGAGATCAACTAACAAACAAAAACTTACCTTTTTAGTTCAACCTGTATGTATGATGGTAAAAATAAGTGTAGCTTTTAGTATAGTGCAAACAACAACAGTCAGCTGTGCTATCAACAGTAAAGTGGAGAAAAAACGAGTCAAGTCGAGAGTTTGGAAAGAAAACATCAACCGCTGCCATCTCACTGCTCGGCAGAAATGTTCACAAATGCAACCAATTCGATGTGACTAGCAATTCAACTACGGATGCACATAATTGCTAGAACTGATTATCATCGCTTCTTTTCTATGAACTAAGTTCGATACAATCGCTTTTTTTTTTACTTAGCGACATTTATAAGATAAGAACAGCTACATCATTTTTACATGCTATATCAGATGCTCTAATAATGATGCTTGTTCTTGGATTTTTTTTAAATTGCGATTCTAGAAAACAATATTCTTTTTTTTTGTCTTAACTTAACCATTTTATTTCCCAGTCAAGGTGAAAAAATCCTACTTTTCGTAAGTAAAATTTGGATTCAAAGTTTACCATAAATCTCCGGTTTGTGTTTAGGCTATCATATAAATTTCACAGTACTAAATAAATCTTACTGGATCATAAAAAAGGAAATTGATAAATCATGCCAGTTCTGATCGCTTTCAAGTGGAATGTCAAACCTCCCTACTCCCATACGGGGGTAACGAATTTGATACCGGTGCTCGGAGTCAGTGAGTGCCAAGTTCGCGTACTTTCGTAAAGGTCAAGATTTCAAAAGAAAATTTTCGAAAAATATAAGACGTGTAATCTTTTTTACCACGAGAGATTGGAACTACAAATTTTCCTCCCAATTCGTACATCCGATGTAAAGTTTTCAATAGCTGAGTAGAATTTTTAAAATTAAATCAAAAAGCCAATCCCAATATCATTATTATTGCATATGTTATTCGCCCACTATTTTGCATTTAAAATGTTAAAGATAGCGAACACTTAACTCTCCAGACTATTCATATTTTTTTAGTTTATGCAATAAAAAAATAATCAAAGCCAGTAGTAATTAATTAATTAGTCGACTCGTTGAAAACGAGGAATTCATGAGCGAACAACTGCAGATGCCGAACACATTCCTCCTATATGCTAAACGTCGAAAAACTATATCAATAAAAATCCGTATCTTTTATATAAAATTTTATTAGGTGAATTTTGTATCTGATACATCTTTTTAAATGTTCGTACTTTGCGATTAACATTTATTTATCATGTTTTAATTAGGTATTAAGTGTAGAGACAAGAAAAATAAGACAGGATTCATGCTTAGAAGTAGATATTTTTTAAATTTGTTTGTGTGCTTTCTTCTTAGGCTAACTAACAGACTTATTGATTTACCTACGCGTATCGCCTGTTGATCAAGGCAATAATTATGTACAAATATGACGCCCTGTTCTCTATCTACAAGAGAAAGATAATTTTAAAAAGCTGGATAGCTTTCAAAAGGAAAATTCGATTTTTGCTAAAGATTGTTAAATAAATCATATATATTCATTTCATCGATATTAAACAGGTTTTATTAGCTGAAAATTATAAATATCTATTGAGCAAGATCATGTTTGGCACTGAGCCACGATAGGCACTCTAGTTGAAAATTATGAAGTGTGTAGTCTCTCTCTTTCTCTCTCTTATATCAGATCTCAGATTCGAAACGCCTTTACTACACCGATATGAGTCTACTTAAGTAATACTATACTAGATTAAAAGCCGCACTCCTTGTGTACTTTTAAGCTATCTCCTGTGGAGAGCTAATTGGACCTCTGACCCATAACTAAAGGGGCCTCTGGCTCATCTTAGAAAACAGCAATAATAATTTTGAAGAAATAACTTTGAATTTCTCAATTCATACAATGGATCTTCAAAACCTCACTTTAACTTTGATTCGAGCAATAAATCCAATTCTGGAAAAATGACCGATTTTTGGCCAGAAACTTCAATTTGAGCCGAAATTCCAATTCAGGCCGAAATTGAGTTCATCAAATCATAAACTCTGCGGAACTTCAAAACTTTGACATTTCGAAGAAATAAAATTAATTTCCTCAATTCACAAAGTTTTGGAGATATTTTAAACTGAATTTAAAACAAAAAAAAAATCACAGACTTTTGTGTTACTTTAAACCCAATATAAATTAAAAACATCTAAAATCGCTAATTTTTTTCAATTGTTTTAAAATTTGAATTTTTAGCCGTTCCCTCCTTATCTTGACACAAATCCCAATGCAAAATGTTCAAGCACCAGATGAAGGGCAGATTTTCAATCCTGGGATCATCTTGATTCCAGAAAGGTATATATGTCCATGTAGAGCAAGTATGGCCTGAGTTAGAGGGGTTTCACACAGACGAACTGACAGAATCTGCCGTTTATATATATATATATATATATATAAGACATGTCTCATTAAATAATTTAGACAAGTTTTGTCTACTTATTTTTAATATGATCCTCTCATATTCACAGACAAGCTTCTTAGTATCCTTATTAAAGGAAGAAAAAAAATTACCATATTGATCCATATTCATTTATTTCGGGTACTTTCGACATTATCAAAATGTCAACTTTAAGGTCTTGTTTTATCTAAGACAAATTTTTTGCGTTTATCTGAAAATTATTTTTTTATTTGGGAAATGAAAAACGCCAAGCTTATGTACTGTATGATTTTTAAATTTTATGATGTAAGCATACGCGTGCAGTAACGTCAAGGAAGATAACTAAGTTTTTACGATGTCTATCTTTTAAAAAAAAACTATTTAAAGCTATTAGTTAAAACCTAGATATTTTTATGCTATCTACTGTAAACATTTTCAAACATTTGTGCAGTATTCATAATTAATTTTATTAAGGGTTGGTTTCAATTTTTTAATAGCTTCAAGAATTTTGGCTTTATGTTTATTATTTTCATGAAAAAGTATAGATGTATTTTCAACAACACTTTTTCTAAATTGTGAATGTGGACAGACATGCTGTTATAAATGTTTACAAATATTAGATGCATCATTCAAATGAAAATTCAACTTCCGAGACAAAGTAGTTGTAGTTTAAATTTATATATAATGTTGGTTTTCTGCAACACGTTAATTGGTGGGGAGGAGTCATTATGAATGATTAATTTGGATATGTTGAATTTAGTATAGTATATAACTGATTTTATTTTTTACTACGATCTGTGATGGGTATATTAGTATTTAATAGTCTTTTGGGAGATATTTTCCTCCTGTTTACAATTAGAATGTTTGATTGCGATACAAAAGATTAATATGTTTAGGGTTATTTGAAGAAGTATTATTTGCTTTATATTAGCATTTCTAATAGAACATCTTATTTGTTCATTGACAATATAATTAGGGAAGTTATTATTAATAAGAGTTTGTTTTATATTTTTTTAGTTCACTGTAGAAAATCTGTTTTGTGGATGAATTAATTTTTGCACTGTTTATTAGGATTTTTGTTATTGCTATTTTGTAGTAATTTGAACATCCACTCTGATAGTTAAGAGTGCACGAATTTATGCTAGGAGTTTGTTTTTTTTTATGGGGAGATAGTGAATTTATTATCATTAGTGTTTATTAATATATCTAGAAAAGGAATTGTATTACTATTATTAAATTCGTATGTAGAATTAAGGAGAGAATTATTTTGGATTGCTTTTGGAGTTGATATATTTCATCCATATTCTTCACTAAGATAAGGATATCATCGATATATCTTAGGTATATGGAAGGTTTTTTTTAAATTTATTAAATATATTATTTTCGAGACTAGACATATAGAAATTACTAAATGTTGGGACCAGAACTGAATCCATAGAAACACCATCCCGTTGTACATATAGATTATTTTTGTGATCGTAGAATGGGACTTCAGTAGTGCAAGTTTAACAGCAGTTTTAGTAATATACTATACTATTGTATATGTTTCTTATAATAATATCAATTGTTTTGCTAACTTGAACATTAGTGAATAAATTTTCAACATCAAGTGAGGTTATGTTTTTTTGTTTTTTGTTTTTGTATTTTTTTATAAATTTGAATTACTTCAAGAGTTGATTTTATGCTGTATTTGCTGGGAAGGTATGGTGTGATAAGTTGGTGTAGGATTTTTGTTAATTGATACACCGGAGTTGGAATTTAATAGGACGGAGAGGATAGTTTTGTAATTTGTTTGTGTATTTTTATAGAACCATAATAACCTGGACTATAATCCCCCACTGTTTTAAGAAGTTTAAAACTATCTTGTTCAGCTTTATTAGCTGTGATAAGTTTGTTAATTTTTCATTTCAGTTGGTTAGTAGGATTCCTGTTAATTTTTTAAAATTTTCGTGTGGTCATTAATTATTTGTTCTAGTTTTGTATTATAATCCGATTTGCTCAAAACAACAAAAATGTTTGTTTCGTCTTCTTTTCCAACGAAGATATCCGGCTGATTACGTATTTCCTTAGCGGCAATTTTTAATGGTTTTGTTAATATTTTTTGAAAAGTTTCTACTTCTGTCATGTCTACACTTGCCTGCCTCAGATTTGAGTAAATCCCAAAATTCTGGTGTTATTGTGATCAGTTGTTCTTCTTCCTGAAGTTTTTCGATACTTTGATATAACATCTCAATTTATATATATATATATATATATATATATATATATATATATATATATATCCAGGTAAAATGAAAGCAAATGGAGTATGTAACATTTAATTTGAAAGAGGGCTCAATACATAGTTTAACATTGCCTGAAGAGACACATGGTGTTGAAACATAATTGTAATTGTGTAGCGATTTTTAACATGTTATATCCTAAAATAAATAATATATATATATATATATATCATAGATTTTTTGTTACAGTAAGGTTCAGCCTGCACAAGGTTCGGGAGCTACTCGAGGCAGAGTTTATACGGATAGGTGGGAGAATATAACTGTTAACCCTAGACTTGAACAAGTTAAGATTGTAGTGATCAGAAAACATCCTCTTGGGAGTCGGTTACTTCCACTTTTCAAACACACACACACACACACATATATATATATATATATATATATATATATATATATATATATATATGACAATGACTTGATATTACAAAATTTAATTAGCGCCTTAGAACTGATTTAAACATCTTATTACTAATAAAAGTGAAGAAAACTTGTTAAGTTTGTAGA